CTGGAGCCGGGTCACCAACTGGGGCAGCCAGGAGTTTCTCTTCGGCGCGATCCATCCGGTGCCCTTCCTGCCGGCGGCGCTGGCGGCCCCCATCACCACGGCCGGCGAGCTCGCGCTGTCCGTGCTGCTCGCGCTCGGCCTGTTCGGGCGCCTCGCCGCGGCGGGCCTGCTGGTCATGACCATGACCATCCAGTGGCTGGTCGGCACCACACCGGAAGGCGTCGAAAACGCCATCGCCCACCCCGCGCACTACCTCTGGATGCTGATCTTCGCCCTGCTGATCGCCTACGGCCCTGGGCGGCTCAGCCTCGACCGCCTGCTGGCCCGGCGCGCGCGTTGAGCCCCGCAGCCGACACGCCCGGGCGGCGGATTACTTTCCAGATCAAGTAGACTTGCCCACAAAAACCCTGTGGGGATCTGGCCTGCGCTTCACTGCACTTCGATGCGTTGGGCCTTTTCATTCGGCATTATGAAAAAAGCAGGCCGCGCGCGGCGATTCCTTTTGCCTTCGCGGCGGGCTGCGCCCTAGAGTGACGTGCGTCCCTAAGGACTTGCTTATGCGAGTCCATAGGGTCGCGAGAAATCACTCTATCCCTATGACGGAGAGCAGGTGTCTTGTGATCGGCGGGCCCACACAGGGGGCCAGACGAGCACAACCTGATCTAGCGTGCACGTGGTGTCGAGGTTGCGGCAGCCCCTCCCCGCTCACCACGCCCCCAGCCAGCCCCCTTCCCGACACGACGAGTGCGACGGAGATTCGCGATGACGGACTCAGTCAACCTGCGCCGCGTGCAGGCCCAGTTTGCCGAGGGCAAGCTCAGCCGCCGCGGTTTCCTGCGCTATGCCACGCTGCTCGGCGTCGCCGCGCCGACCGCCTACGCCATGGCCGGTCTGCCGGCGGCGCGCGCCGCCGAGAATGCGGCGGCCGAGCTGCCGAAGGGCGGCACGCTGCGCATCGGCATGCCGGTCCCGGCCGAGGTCAAGGACCCCCATGCCATGAGCTGGTACCACGCCGCCAACATCGCGCGGCAGGTCTGCGAGTACCTGACCATCACGCCGCCGGACAACGTCACCCGTCCCTACCTGCTGGAGTCCTGGGAGGCCAGCGACGACCTGCGCACCTGGCGGCTGCACGTGCGCAAGGAGGCGGCCTGGCACAGCGGGCGCCCCTTCACCGCCGAGGACGCGGCCTGGAACCTTCGGCGCATGCTCGATCCGCAGACCGGCTCCTCCATGCTGGGGCTGATGCAGAGCTACATGCTGAGCGAGGAGGACGGCCAGCAGCGACTGTGGGACGCCAACGCCATCGAGGTGGCGGACAGCCACACCCTGGTGCTGAACCTCAAGCAGCCGCAGATCGCGTTGCCGGAGCACCTCTTCCACTACCCGGCCCTGATGCTCGACCCCGAGGAGGACGGCCGCTTCGGCGTCGGCTCCAACGGCACCGGACGCTTCACCCTGAGCGAGCACCGCACGGCCGAGCAGGCGGTGCTGCAGCGCCGCGCCGGCCACTGGGCGCGTGACGCCTACCTGGACGAGCTGCGCTTCATCGACCTGGGCGACGACCCCTCGGCGGCCATCGCGGCCCTGGGCTCGGGCCAGATCGACGGCATCGACCAGGCCGACGTCACCCAGCTCGCGGTGCTCCAGGCCCTGCCCGAGGTGCGGGTGCACGAGGTGCTCTCCTCGGCCACCGGCGTGCTGCGCATGCGCGTCGACAAGCCCCCCTTCGACGATCCGCGGGTGCGCCGCGCCCTGCGCCTGGCGATCGACCCGCAGCGGGTGCTGGAGCTGGCCCACCAGGGCCGCGGCGCGCCGGGCGAGCACCACCACGTCGCCCCGGTGCACCCGGCCTACGCCAGCCTGCCGGCCATGCCCCGCGACGTGGAGGCGGCCCGCGCGCTGCTGGCCGAGGCCGGCTACCCCGAGGGGCTGGACCTGCCGATCGACGTCTCGATCAGCCCGGAGTGGGAGCTGAGCGCGGTCCAGGTGATGAAGGACATGATGGCGCCGGCCGGCATCCGCCTGCAGATCAACACCATGCCCTCGGCCCAGTACTGGGACATCTGGCTCGACACGCCGCTGGGCTTCACCAACTGGGGCCATCGCCCGCTCGGCACCATGTCGCTGGGCCTGGGCTACCGCAGCGGCGCGCCCTGGAACGAGACGCGCTATGCCAACCCGGAGTTCGACCGGCTGCTGGACGAGGCCGAGGCCAGCCTCGACGTCGAGCGGCGCCGCGAGGTCATGGCCGAGATCCAGCGGCTGCTGCAGGAGGACGGCCCGGTCGTCCAGCCGCTCTGGCGCGCGGTCTTCGCCGCCTACCACCAGAAGGTGAAGGGCGTGCGCATGCACCCCTCCTTCTACATCCAGGGCGACGAGCTGGCGATCGAGGCCTGATCCGGGCCGGCGCCGGCGGCGGCGCACCGAACGGCGAAGGGGGCGGCCGAACGGCCGCCCCCTTTTGTCTCTCGCCCCCCGTGACGCCGGCGCTCAGGCGTGCTCGCGCACGAAGGTGGCGATCGCCGGCTTGATCTTCTCGCGCCAGCGGCGCCCGTTGAAGATGCCGTAGTGGCCGACGCCCGGCTGCAGGAAGTTCTCGTGCAGGCGCTGATCCAGGCCGCGACACATGGCGTGGGCGGCGATGGTCTGGCCGGGGGCCGAGATGTCGTCCAGCTCGCCCTCCACCGTCATCAGCGCGGTGCGGGCGATGGCGCCGGGATCGACGGTCTCGCCGCGCCAGGTCATGCGGCCCTCGGGCAGGGTGTGGCGCTGGAAGATCTGGTCGACGGTCTCGAGGTAGTAGTCCGCCGGTACGTCCATCACCGCCAGGTACTCGTCGTAGAACTTGCGGTGAGCCTCCACGGAATCGCCGTCGCCCTGCACCAGATGGCGGAACATCTTCAGGTGCGACTCGAAGTGGCGCGAAGGGTTCATGGAGATGAAGCCGCCGAGCTGCAGGAAGCCGGGATAGACCTGCCGCCCGCCGCCGGGATAGTAGGCCGGTACCTCGGTGATCAGGCTGCGCTCGAACCAGGACAGCGGCCGCGACTCGGCGAAGCGGGTGACCGCCGTCGGCGCCGCGCGGGTGTCCACCGGCCCGCCCATCAGGATCATGCTGCGCGGCTGCGCCGGGTCGTCGCCCTGGGCCAGCAGGGAGACGGCGGCCAGCACCAGCGGCGCCGGCTGGCAGACCGCCATGACGTTGAGCTCCGGCGCCAGCCGCTTCATGAAGGCGATTAGCGTGTCGAGGTAGTCCTCCAGCCCGAAACTCCCGGCCTCGCCCGGCACCAGGCGGGCGTCGATCCAGTCGGTCACATAGACCTCATGGTCGGGCACCAGCGCCGCCACCGTGCCGCGCAGCAACGTCGCGTGGTGGCCGCTCATCGGCGCGACCAGCAGGATCTTGGGGTCGTCGCGGCTCACCCCGACCCGCTTGAAGTGCAGCAGGTTGCAGAAGGCGTCGCCGCCGACCCGCGCGATCTCCAGCGGCACCTCGCGGCCGTCGATCCGGGTGTGCGTCAGCCCCCACTCCGGCTTGCCGCGATGCCGGGTGGCCGACTCGATCACCTCCAGCCCGGCGACGACGCTGCGCCCCAGGTGGGTGTAGGTCATCGGCACCAGCGGATGGGTCAGCAGCTCGCGCGCCGTGTCCGACATCATGCGGAAAGGCGTCATGGCGATATGCTGAAACTCGTAGAGGGAATAGAGCATCAAGGGACCTCGCGCCTGGTCAGGCCGGGACGCGGCCTGCCGTTGCCGTTGGGCTTTCGCCCTTCTTGTCTCCGCGCGTGATCACACCCGCACGAAAGAATCCTGCGCCCTGCCAGGGTGCAGAAGTCATAATGCATCGCAACAAGGAGAGCGCAACCGTCGTGTCGACCGCCGGCCGGCGCCGGTCAGCCGAGCCGCCGACGGAACAGCTCGCCCAGGCCGTCCAGCGCCGTGTCCACCCCCGACAGGCGCAGCGCGTGCCAGATCAGGGCGTGGTTGGAGGAGGTCACCGGCTTGCCCACCGCCGCCTCGATCTCCGCCACCGCCTCGATCAGGCGCACCGAGGTGCAGGAGACGAACAGCCCGTCCACGTCGGGCTCGCCGGCCAGCCGCTCGGCCGCCGCGCGGATCGAGGCGGCGTCGATGCGCGCGACGGTGGGGTCGTCCTCCTCGTTGAACGAGCCCATCACCGGTACGCCCACGCCGCGCGACTGGAAGAAGCCGCGCATCATCTGGTTGACCGAGCGCACGTAGGGCGTGAGCAGCGCGATGCGGCGCATCCCCAGCACCTCGAACGCCGCCAGGGCGGCCAGGGCCGGGTTGGTCGCCGCCCGCGGCCGGCGCGCCGCGGTGATCAGCTCGCTGACGCGCTCCGGGCCGATCACCATGGAGGCCGAGGTGCAGCCGTAGGCCACGCAGTCCAGCTCGTAGTCCGGCATCAGGATCTCGGCGCACTCGGGAATCCGCGCCTCCATGGCCTTGAGCGTCTCGGGGTTGATCGCCGTGTCGTTGCGAATCCGGCTCTCGAACAGCGCCACGCCGGGCAGCCGCGCCAACACCTGGCGAAACTCGTGCTCCATCGTGCCGTCGGTCGCCAGAACGATCAGGCCGAGGTTGGCCAGGGCGCCCACGCCCCGGTCCGTGGTGAAGGGCAGATGCTCCAGGTTGACGCGCGGGGCATCGGCGGCCTCGGGCAGCAGGGGGGCGGCGTCGGGCGGCATGGCGCGGAGTCCTCGTGGCAAGATCTGGCCGGCTGGGCGCGGCAACGGGCGGCGACGCGGGGCCACCGAAGCCGGCGACGATCTTGGCGCCGCCGCCCGCGCCGGTCGAGTCCATCCGTTGGCGGTCGCCCCCGATCACGGCCTCCAATCGCGGCCCCTGAGCGCCGGGCCTGCCGGCGACCGGCCAACCTTACGACGAATTAATCCTATGGACAGGCCATCGTAAGCCCTTTGCGCCTATTCTGCTCTGCAACAGTGATCCACCAGCCGGAGACGTTCTGCGATATGTCCGCACGTCACCTGTTCCGTTCCACGGCGAAAGGCGTCCTTCCCGCCGCCCTGGCCGCGACCGTTCTGATCGCGGGAAGCGTGGCCCAGGCCAAGCCGGCGCCGGAAAGCTTCGCGCCGCTGGTCAAGCGCGTCAGCCCGGCCGTCGTCTATGTCGAGACCGAGCGCCAGCAAGAGGCGCGCGGCCCCCAGGGCCTGCCCTTCCCCGAGGGCTCGCCCTTCGAGGAGTTCTTCAAGCGCTTCGGCATTCCCGACATGCCGGAAGGCCAGCGCCCGCGCCCGCAGCGCGGCGTCGGCTCCGGCTTCATCGTCGATGACGAGGGCTACATCGTCACCAACAACCACGTGGTCGAGGGCGCCGACGGGGTGGAGATCACCCTGGACGACGGCACGACCTACGACGCCGAGCTGGTCGGCACCGATCCGCAGACGGACCTGGCGCTGCTCAAGATCGACCCGCGCGGCGAGCTGACGGCCCTCAGCTTTGGCGATTCCGACGGCATCGAGGTCGGCGACTGGGTGGTCGCCGTCGGCAACCCCTTCGGCCTGGGCGGCTCGGTCACCGCCGGCATCGTCTCGGCGCGCGGCCGCAACATCAACGCCGGGCCCTACGACGACTTCATCCAGACCGACGCGGCCATCAACCGCGGCAACTCGGGCGGCCCGATGTTCAACCTCGACGGCGAGGTGATCGGNNACCGCGATCTTCTCGCCCTCCGGCGGCTCCATCGGGATCGGCTTCGCGATCCCCTCGAACCTGGCCGAGCCGATCATCGCCCAGCTCAAGGACAGCGGCGCGGTCGAGCGCGGCTGGCTGGGCGTGATGGTCCAGCACGTTACCCCGGAGCTGGCCGAGGCCATGGGCCTGGACAGCCCGCGCGGCGCCCTGGTGGCCAACGTGGTCGAGGGCGGCCCGGCCGACGCGGCCGGCCTGCGGCAGGGCGACGTGATCCTCGACTTCGCCGGCACCGAGATCACGGAGATGCGCGACCTGCCGCGGGTCGTCGCCAACACCGAGGTCGGCCGCTCGGTCGAGGTGCGGATCTGGCGCAACGGCGAGACCGCGCGCGAGGAGGTCGAGATCGGCAAGCTGCAGCCGCAGCAGGCCAGCCGCCAGGCGCGCCCCGGTCAGCCGCAGCCGAGCCCGGAGAGCGCGGTGTCCGAGAGCTTGGGCGCCGACCTGGCCCGGCTCGACGCGGAAACCCGCGCGCGCTTCGAACTGCCCGGCGACAGCCAGGGCGTGGTCATCCTCGAGGTGCAGCCCGACGGCCCCGCCGCCGCGGCGGGCCTGCGCCCCGGCGACCTGATCCGCCGCATCGACGGCGAGCAGGTCGACTCACCGAACCAGGTCTCCGACGCCCTGTCGGAAGCCGCCTCGGGTCAGCGCTCCGCGCTGATGCTCGTCGAGCGCGGCGGCAACCCTCTCTTCGTGGGAGTGAAGCCGCGCGCCTGACGAGCCGTCCCGGACATCTCTGATCCGACTGGACGGATCATCCGGGTCATTCACGACACTCGACCTTGCCGGCAGGCCCCCCACTCCACGGACCAGGGCCTGCCGGCATTTTTTTCCGGACCGGCCGACCGCCGGCGTCGAAAGGCGAGCCGATTGCATGACCGACGAGACGCGACCCCTGGCAAGTGATCTCCCCTCTGCCTATAGGAAGCCCGGAGGCAGGTGGGCGATGCGCATCCTGATCATCGAAGACGACGACCAGACGGCCGAGTACATGCGCAAGGGCCTGAGCGAGGCCGGCCATGTGGTGGACCGCGCCGACGAGGGGCGCGACGGTCTCTACATGGCGTCCAGCGGCGAGTACGACGCGGTCGTCCTGGATCGCATGCTGCCCGGCCTGGACGGATTGAAGGTGCTGGAGGCGATGCGCGCGGCCGGCATCCAGACGCCAGTGCTGATCCTCAGCGCGCTGGGCCAGGTCGACGACCGGGTCGGCGGCCTGCGCGCCGGCGCCGACGACTACCTGACCAAGCCCTTCGCCTTCTCCGAGCTGCTCGCCCGGCTCGACTCCATGACCCGCCGCCGCGCCGCCAGCGCGCCGGACACCACGCTCAGCGTCGGCGACCTGACGCTTGACCGCCTGAGCCGCAAGGTGACCCGCGGCGGCCAGGCGGTCGAGCTGCAGCCGCGCGAGTTCCAGCTTCTGGAGTTCCTGATGCGCCACGCCGGCCAGGTGGTCACGCGCACCATGCTGCTGGAGGGGGTCTGGGACTATCACTTCGATCCCCAGACCAACGTCATCGACGTCCACATGAGCCGCCTGCGCCAGAAGGTCGACAAGGGCTTCGACAGCGCCTTGATCCAGACCGTGCGCGGCGCCGGCTACATGCTCTCGGCCGAGGATTGAGGCGGGCGGCGTGCGCAGCCTTCGCCTCCTGCCGGCCGGCGCGACGGCGCGCTTCGCGCTGATCTACTTCGCCTTCTTCGCCATCTCGGTGCTGCTGCTGCTGGGCTGGATCTACCTGCGCACCGTGCCGATGCTGGACCGTCAGGTGGCCGAGACGGTGGCCGCCGAGCTGCGCGGCCTGGCCGACCAGGCGCGCGAGGGCGGCCTGGCCGGCCTGATCGAGGCGATCGACCGGCGCAGCGGCGAGGGCGGCGATCCCGACGGCGTCTACCTGCTGGTCGGACCCGAGGGCCGCAAGCTGGCCGGCAACCTGCGCGCCTGGCCCGAGGCCGCGCGCGGCGACGGCGAATGGCTGCTGCTCGACCTGCGCCGGCGCACCGAGGCGGGACTGCAGCCGCGCCAGGTCGGCGCTCGCAGCTTCGCCCTGCAGACCGGCCACCGCCTGCTGGTCGGGCGCGACTTCGGCGCCCGCGGCCGCTACGCCGGCGCCCTGGTCGAGGCCCTGGCCTGGGCGCTCGCCGGCGCACTCATCCTCGGCCTGGCCGGCGGCTGGCTGATCAGCCGCAACGTCGCCCGCCGGGTCGGCGCGGTGACCGCCACCAGCCGGCAGATCATGCGCGGCGACCTCTCCCAGCGCATGCCCAAGGACGGCAGCGGCGACGAGTTCGACCGCCTGAGCGACAGCCTCAACGCCATGCTGCAGCGGATCGAGGAGCTGATGACCGGCCTGCGCACGGTCAGCGACAGCCTGGCCCACGACCTGCGCTCGCCGCTGACCCGCCTGAAGGGGCGGATCGAGCTCGCCCTGCGCGGGCCCGAGGACACCGAGGCTTACCGCGACGCCCTGGAGCGGGCGCTGGCCGAGGCCGACCACCTGCTCGCGACCTTCAGCGGCCTGCTCTCCATCGCCCGCGCCGAGGCCGGCGCGGCGCGCAGCCAGTTCGAGGTGCTGGACCTGGCCCACCTGGCCGAGGAGATCGGCGAGCTCTACGAGCCGGCGGCCAGCGACGCCGGCCTGATCTGGCAGAGCGACATCCGCGCCCCGGCCCCGGTGCGCGGCCACCGCCAGCTCCTCGCCCAGCTCATCTCCAACCTGCTCGACAACGCGCTGAAGTACGGCGCCGGCGGCAACGCCCTCAGCCTGGCCGTCCGGGCCCGCGACGGCGCGATCGAGCTGAGCGTCGCCGACAGCGGGCCGGGCATCCCCGCCGCCGCCCGCGCCGCGGTGCTCCAGCGCTTCGTGCGGCTCGACGAAAGCCGGCGCGAGCCGGGCAGCGGCCTCGGCCTGTCGCTGGTCGCCGCCGTCGCCAAGCTGCACGAGGCCGAGTTGCACCTGGAGGACAACGCCCCCGGGCTGCGCGTGCGCCTGGTCTTCGAGCGCGCCGCCCCTGCCCCGCAGCGGCCCCCGCCCTAGATCATCGGTCATGCGCCTGCGCCTGCCGATCGCCCTCGCCCTGCTGCTGGCCGTCGCGGCCGGCACCGCCGCCGCACAGCCCCGCGACGGCACCATCCCGGTGGACCTGGAGCTGGTGCTGGCGGTCGACGCCTCCGGCTCGGTCGACGCGGCCGAGTACGCCCTGCAGATGCAGGGCATCGCCAGGGCCCTGCGCGATCCGCAGGTGCGCGCGGCGATCGCCGAGGGGCCGCACGGCGCCATCGCCGTCACGGTCATGCTCTGGGCCGAGGCCAACCGGCCGAAGCAGGCGCTGCCCTGGGCCCGGCTCTCCGACGCCGCCGGCCTGGCAGCCTATGCCGCCCGCGTGGCCGCCATGCCGCGCCGCCTGCCCGCCGGCGGCACCGGCATCGGCAAGGCGCTGCAGTACGCGGTCTGGGAGCTGGAGCGCAACGCCTTCACGGCGCCGCGCCGGGTGATCGACCTCTCCGGCGACGGCCGCGAGACCGCCTTTCGCGAGTTCAGCCTCTCGGCGCGGCAGGGGCGCACCGTCGCGACCCTGCGCGGCATCACCGTCAACGGCCTGGCCATCCTCAATGAGGAGCCCGACCTCGCGGCCTACTACCGCGCCGAGGTGATCGGCGGGCCCGGCGCCTTCGTCGAGACCGCGCGCGACTACCGCGACTTCGCCGCGGCCCTGCGCCGCAAGCTGATCCGCGAGATCGCCTGGCGGCCCCAGGTCAGCCAGGGCACGGGCGGCCGGGCCAAGGTCGACGCGGACCTGCGCCCTTGAGTCGCCGCCGCCGGCGGCGCAGTCTTGCACCGACCCCAGGGCAGCCGGCCGGCGAATGTCATGAGAAAATCACAATATCTCTCCGCAGCCGATTTCGAGGCGGCGGCCCGCGCCGCGGCGGGGCGGACTTCGGCCGAGCTCTACGCCGAAAGCGGCCTGGCGCCGGGCCCGGCGCGCTGGATGCTGGCGGTCGGCGAGGTGCACCTGCCGCTGCGGCTCTTCGCGGCCTTGGCCTTGCGCCACAAGGGGTTGGCCGAGCCGCGGCCGACCACGGCCGAGGCCCGGGAGCTGGCGCAGGCCGCGGGCCTGACCGCCTATGACGGGCATCGCGCCGAGGGGCCGCTGCGCACCGGTTGACGCGTCCCGCGGCGAGGCTTGATCTGCGACCCTTTGTCGCCGCCTGCGCAGGTACCGCCATCGCATGCGTTGATCTGGCGCAAGGCACATCATAGGTAAACCCACTATACATAATCCGGTACGGTCCGCGGGGATCGGGGGGATATTCCGCAGGGGCGAGACAACCAGGGCGGACAGGCTGGATTTTGGGAGGCGACAGCACGCTCATGAGACGGCCGAATAAATCCGACTCCTTCACCGACGTGGTCACGAAATCCCTCGACGTCGACGGCATCCCCGCCGGCCTGGCCCTCTCGCTGGGTCACAATCTCATTTTCTTCACCACCGAACCCGACCTCGCGGACCTCGACGGCGCCAGCTTCGGGTCGATCGCCCAGTTGACGGATCGGGTCCGCCGGGCGCGAAGCGAGGCGCCGGCGGCATGAACGCTCAGCAGGAACGCGCCGGCCGACCGTGACCTCCCGCAAGGGCGAGATTCGCGTCGGCACCTCCGGCTGGCAGTACGATCACTGGATCGGCCCCTTCTACCCGAAGGGCACCCGCAAGCGCGACCTGCTGGCCTGCTACGCCGAGAGCTTCGACACCGTCGAGGTCAACGGCACCTTCTACAGCCTGCCCAAGACCGAGACCGTGGAGTCATGGGTGCGGCAGACGCCGGCGAACTTTCGCTTCGCGGTGAAGGCCAGCCGCTATCTGACTCACATGAAGCGGCTGAAGGACCCCGCCGCCGCCTCGCAAAAGCTCTTCGACGCGCTGACGCCGCTCGGCCGCAAGCGCGGGCCGCTTCTGCTGCAGCTCCCGCCGCGCTGGAAGGCCAACCCGAAGCGTCTGGACGCGGCGCTGGCGGCGCTGCCGCCCGGCCGCTACGCGGTCGAGCCGCGCGACCCCGACTGGCTGTGCGAGCCGGTCTATCGGGTGCTGGAACGCCACGGCGCGGCCCTGTGCCTCTACGACTATGCGGGCCGCCAGACCGAACCGCGGCTGACCGCCGACTTCGTCTACCTGCGCCTGCACGGCCCGGACGCGCAGGCCTACACCGGCAGCTACTCGGCCAAGGCCCTCGCCGCCTGGGCCCGGCGCATCCGGGTCTGGGCCGGCGACGGCCGCGACGTCTTCGTCTACTTCGACAACGACGAGGCCGGCTACGCGCCGCGCAACGCCGCGGCGCTCAAGGACCGCCTCGGCTGAAGCTGCTCTACCCCAGTTGCACGGCCTGCGCGTCGATCCCCGCCCAGGGGTCCGGTTTCTGCGCCAGGCGGCGGAAGATGTTGGCCAGGCGCCAGCCGTCCGGACGCAGCTCCGCCGTCAGCTCGTCCCAGTCCAGCGGCGTGGCCACCGGCGCCCCCGGTTTGGTGCGCAGGGAATAGGGCGCGATCGTCGTCTGCCCGTAGGCGTTGCGCAGCACGTCGAGGAACAGCCGCCGGCCGCGCTTGTCCTTGCGCTGCTCGACGGTCAGCCGCTCCGGATGCGCCTCGGCCAGCTCTTCGGCAAGGCCGCGGGCGAAGGCGCGCGCCGTGTCGAAGCCGGCCGAGCGGTCGAGCGGCACCACCACGTGCAGGCCGCGCGAGCCGGTGGTCATCACGAAGCTCGGCAGATCCCGTTCCTCGAGCGCCACGCGCAGCGCGCCGGCGGCCCAGCGCACCGTGTCGAAATCCTCCCCCGGCGGGTCGAGATCGAAGATCAGGCGGTCGGGCCGCTGCGGCCGATCCACCCGAGACAGGCCGGCGTGCAGCGCCACCGCCCCCTGGTTGGCCATGTAGACCAGGGCCGCCGCCTCCTCGAGCTGCAGGTAGTCGACCTCGCCCTGCTCGGCCGGCAGGCGCGCGCGCGCCACCCAGTCGGGCACATGGTCGGGCACCTGCTTCTGGAAGAAGCAGTCGTCGATGCCGTCGGGGCAACGCTGCAGGCTCATCGGGCGGCCCCGCAGATGCGGCAGCGCCGTCTCGGCGATCCGCGCGTAGTAGTCGACCACCTCGCCCTTGGTGATCGCCGGGGCGCCGTCGCGGGCCGGAAACAGCACCTTGTCCAGCCGCTTCAGGCTCAGCCGACGGCCGCCGATCTCGCAGTCGCGCTCCGCCGCGCTCATCGCTTGCCCGGCTCCTCGCGCACCACCTCTTCGGCCGCCTTGTCACGGCGCAGCCCCAGGAAGCGGGGATGGCGCAGCTTGCCCTCGGCGGTCCATTCGGTGAAGCCGAATTCGCCGACCAGGACCGGCGTGACGAAGTGCGCGCCCGCCGTCTCGACCGGATCGGCAAAGGGCGAGGTCTTGCGCTCCAGCCCGTCGAGACGCCGCCGCAGGTCGCGCAGCAGCGCCTCGTCGAAGCCGGTGCCCACCTTGCCGGCGTAGCGCAGGGCGCCGTCTTCATAGTAGCCGACCAGCAGGGCGCCGAAGCCGACCCGGCTGCCCTGCGGCTCCGTGAAGCCGCCGATCACCAGCTCCTGACCGCGGCTGCACTTGAACTTCAGCCAGTCGCGCGACCGGCCCTTGCGGTAGGGCGCCGCCGCCCGCTTGGCGATCAGCCCTTCCCAGCCCCGCGCGCAGGCGTCGCGCAGGAAGGCTTCGCCCGCTTCGTTGCGGTGCGGCGTGAAGCGCAAGGGCGCGCGAAAGCGCAGGGTCTGCTTGAGAAGCTGCTTGCGCCGGCGCAGCGGCAGGCCGCCAAGGTCCAGCCCGTCGCGCCACAGCAGGTCGAACAGGTAGAAGAAGACCGTCACGCCGCTGGCGGCGATCTCCTCGGGATCGCGCTTTTGCATGCGCTGCTGCAGCCGGGCGAAGCTGCTCACCGCGCCGTCGAAGGCCACCACCTCGCCGTCGACGGCGAAATCCCCGGCCGGCTGGTCCGCCAGCGCCGCGACCAGCTCCGGATAGGTGACGTCGGCCGCCTTGTCGTTGCGGGTCAGCAGCGACACCCCGCCGCCCTGGCGGACGGCCAGGATGCGCTCGCCGTCCAGCTTGCGCTCGTAGAGCCAGTCGGGATCGGAAAAGGGCGCATGGGTCAGGGTCGCCAGCATCAGATCGCCGCCGGCGGGCGGGGCCGCCCGCCGCAGGGCCTGGCGCTCCGCCGCGCTCAGGTCGGCCTGCCAGTCCGCGCTCACGCGCCGGACTCCCGCGTGGCGCGCGCGACCTGCTTGAGCGTGCGCCCGCTCTTGACCGACTTGCGCTGGGTGGAGGTGGGGTTGCGCCGCCGGTCGGCCGCCGCGTCGTCCATCTTGACCAGCAGCCAGTTCGCCTTGTCCCCCGTGCCGGTGCGCTGCAAGGCGTAGCCGCCGCGGATCTTCTCGCCCTCCAGCCAGACCAGCAGGTGGCCGGCCGCCAGTGCGTCGGCGGGCCTTTGGACCCGGCCGTCCTTCTCGGTGATGTTCTCCCAGGTGCCCCGGTCCCAGACGATGACCGTCCCGCCGCCGTACTGCTCCTCGGGAATCCGCCCCTCGAAGTCGGCGTAGTCCAGGGGGTGGTCCTCGGTCGGCACGGCCAGGCGCTTTTCCCGCGGGTCGGTCGAAGGGCCCTTGGGGACTGCCCAGGACTTCAGCACGCCGTCCACCTCCAGCCGCAGGTCGTAGTGATGGCTGCTCGCCGCGTGCTCCTGGATGACGAAGAGCGGGCCGTCCCCGCGCCGCCGTCGGCCGGGCTTCGGCTCCGCCGTGCGCGTGAAGTCGCGCTTCTTGCGGTAACGGTCCAAAGTCATGCGCCGACCTCCAACGCCGCCATGGCAACCGCGGTTCCCCGACAGGCCCCTTTCCCCAGACAGGCCCCTTTCCCCAGACAGGCCCCTTTCCCCCGACAGGCCCCTTTCCCCGGACGCCCGCGCCGCGGCCGGCCGCCCGACGGCGCCCGCACGCCCTTCCCTCGTCTCTGGCCGTGATTATAAGCTGAGCGCCCAGACTGGCGACTGCCAGACTAGCCCCTGCCAGACTAGCGACTGCCAGACTGGCGATCACCAGACTGGCGATCATCCGTTGGGGAGCCCCGGGAGACGATGACCACCTCCGAGAAGTCCGCCAAATCCAAGAAGACCGGCAGCGGAGCAGCGACCGAGCGGTCCACGGCCAAGACCGGGGCGCCGGCCCAGGTGTCGGCCAAGACCAGGCCCAAGTCCGCCGCCAAGACAGTCTCCCCGCCGAAGGCCGCGCCAAAGACGAAGACCACCGCGAAGGCGACGGCCACCCCCAAGGCGAAGAGCCGCGCCAAGAAAAGCGCCGCCGCGCCGCCCAGCCGCGCGGCCAGGCCGGCGGCCCGACAGGCGGCCCGACAGGCGGCCGGGGGTAAGACGGCGCGGTCCCAGCCCCGCATGGAGGCGCCCGACAGCCTGCTGCACAGCGCGGCGGCGCGCCGTCTCATCGGCGGCTGAGACAGCCGCGGTCGCCCGACGGGCCGGAACCGGCACGCGATGCCGGCGCCCCGCCCTGCCGGATCGCATGCCAGGGGCCTGCGCCCGGGCCGAGCCGGCAATCGGAAGTTCAACAGCCGCAAGTTGCCGACTCTGCTTGACCGCTTTTCAACTCGTCTTGCGGGCGCATAAAATTTTCAAATTTATTGAACGTTATTCAGCTTTATTGACCCGCTTACCCAATGAGGTATTGACTAAGTTTGAGGGCGAATGGTTTAACTGAAATTGGGACAATTTTACCTCAGGAAAATCATGGATTGGGCTGCCTTGATCCGCCGGGTCCGGCGACACAAACTTATGACTCAAAGCGACCTCGCCGCGGCTCTCGACGTCTCCCAGGGGACTGTCTCGCGCTGGGAGTCCGGGCTGTTCGAGCCTGAGTTGCGGTATCAAAGCCTGCTCCGCGACTTCCTGCGCGAGAACCGTCCGGATCTCGAGACGCGGATGATTCATGCCGTGCAGCGCTCGCTCTTCCCGGTGACGCTTGCCGGCACCGACCACACGCTGCTCGCCGCCTCGCAGCGTTTCCAGAAACTGATGGAGATCGAGGTGCCGCCGGATAAGCCGGTGCGCATCGACGGCACGCGATTGTCGCCAGGCGCGCGGCGCATTCTGGAGCGCGACGAGCTGGCCGGCTGGCTCTACGACGTCGCCTACATCTCCTTCCTGACCGGCATCGTCACGCCGTCCGGCCAGCGCTTCGCCGCGCGGGAGCTCTGGACGCCGTTCCTGCTGGAGGGCGCGCGCCTGGTGGTGCGCATCGAGCTGGAGCCGCTGAACGGCGGCACCGACGATCCCAGCCTGTTCGAGGACGACCCGCCGATCGAGGTGGTCTACCTGGACGACTATTGAGCGCCCGGCCCCGGTCCCGCCCAAAAAATAGCCCCCCGGTCGGGACCGGAGGGCTGTGGCACGCGGCGACGTAGGGGCAGTGTCCCGCGCGCCGAAGGGACGAAGTCAGGTGAAGTGGTCGAAAGCCGACCGCTAATGAGACAAGCGCATCTCGGCCGGGCTGTCAAAGCCGCCGCGAGACAAGGCCGTCATGCGCTGTCGTCATGGCCTGCTCAGAGGTTCAGCAGCCGCTCCAGATCGACGATGGTCAGCACCGACAAAGCCAGCAGCAGCCCCATCGCCACATTGAAGACCCGCAAACGCCGGCCGCTGTTGAGCAGGCGGCCGATGCCGACCCCGAACAGCACCCAGACCGGCTGACCGAGCAGCATGGCCAGAAGAAAGGCCAGGAGGATCAGCCCGCCGGCCACCAGGGGCGAGAGCGCCGGGTCCATGAAGGCGGTGGCCGCGCCGAGGCCGAGGCTCCAGGCCTTGGGATTGGCGAACTGGAAGCCGGCGGCCTCGAGCAGCGTCAGCGGCCGGTCCCGCTCGCCGCCGGTCGCCCGCCCGGCCGCGGCGATGCGCCAGGCCAACCACAGAAGATAGGCCGCGCCGAGCAGTTGCAGCGCGACGGACAGCCCCGGCGCGGCCGTCACCACAGCGCCGATCCCGACGATGCACAGCCCGAACAGGCTCAGCGCGCCGACCACGATCCCCGCGATGTGCGGCAGGCTGCGTTGGAAGCCGAAGTTGGCGCCGGAGGCGGCCAGCATCAGGTTGTTGGGCCCCGGCGTCCAGCTCGAGACCGCCGCGAAGGTCGTCAGGGCCAGGATATGCTCGACCACCCCCGGCTCGACCACCCCCGGCTCGATCATCTCGACTCCTCCCGCCTCGGCGCCCTGGAATAGAAGCGAAAATACAACTCGCGATGGATTCTACACCAGTCGAAGGGGCGGGCACCGGGGTCGCCGC